AGTTCATATATTGGCCGATAGGCGATGGCTGCAGAAAGGAGCAATTTCCATAGACCCCCATGTTAAAATGCCCAATTTTACAGCAGAAAAAAACATGTTTCTACCCCTGGCTCCATACATTTTATTATCGATATAGTTAGATTCCACCTTCATGATTATGGATCTGTGAGTGAATTGTTTTCTACGCGACCCTTTTATTTATATTAGGTCTTAAAGTTTGTGCATAAATTAGGGCGTGGTCACATTGAGTGACGGCTCTGTGAAGTGACTGCCACTGTTAGCTTCTTGTCTCTCTGCTACCTGCTCCGTGAAGCTAGCTACAGGGACTCTGCCTGCTCAGCTCATCCAGGAAACACAACTTGTAGCCGGCCGTGGTTGTTTGTTCTTCATGATTATATATCGGACTATTGTGACTCGCTCTCCGGTTAAAACAGACGGTGCATGAATGCGGTAAGTGAAATTCGAGTGCTTTATTTATGTGTTAATGATTTTAATCAGCTACGTAATGAATGGTAAGGCTTGGGTTAGCATGTAAGCTAGTGGTAGCTACATCGGTGATAACGATGCTAATCGTAGCTTCCAAGTTAAAATCATAGACTGTATATATAAAGGTTAAAACGAAATAGACAAGTGTTAAGCGTTAAGTGGGATAATACTGTTGAACAAACGGCTTCTGTTTGAGGTTGATAAAATAAGGTTACATCCTTGTAACTTAGAGATATTTTATTATGTAGGTAGGAACTGTATGCATCTGAGGTTAATTGAAATTGGCTATGCTCAAGTATGTAGACAAGCTAATGTCGAAGTAGTGTATGTGAAATCAACCTCACAATAAGATGTGTGTATATTACAATTATTAATGTCATATTTCAAGATGATTACTTAGATATTACAATATGGTTGGTTGAGCTGGAGTTCATTATCGAGCTTACACGTTAACGTCACAGTCATCTGAAGAACGAACCCAAACCTTGTTGTTTTTATTAATTGCATTACCTAAATGGGTATCAAATAAACAGTAAGCATTGGTAACACAACTTCCAAAGTTACAGTAAAATAAAAAGGACCCTGACTCGGACAATACACAATCCAACATGTTCAACAGAAGAGAATCAGTTATATTGTTTGTACACATGGTACTTTACATATATATATATATATATATATATATATCTGTTTGTTTAAGGTGTCCAGGTGATGCAGACAGGCTGGACCAGAGAATGAGAGACAGAACTGGACTCCTCACAGCAGCACATCTTCCGGCGCAGACTGAAAACTCATCTCTTTCGACTCCACCTCGAGCGATAGAATTACTAACAAAGAACTGCTAACAGAGCACTTATATTCTAATAAAGGACTGGCTTATCTATAGCCAGTTGAGTAGCACTTGAAATGTGTGGCTCTATGAAACCTGATGTACTTATATGATTCTGTTTTCTTCAAGGTTGTGTCTTCCTGGTCGAATGTACTTATTGTAAGTCGCTTTGGATAAAAGCGTCAGCTAAATGCAATGTAATGAACATCAGCTCAGGTACAAAGACTCTTTTTTCATACTGTACAAAGAATCAAGAAAGATATTGGTTTAAATTAATGAAGTATTGACTTGAATACACTGATATACATTCCATTAAACAATACTAAATACTAGATCACCTACACATCAGTGAAGTTGAGGGTTTTTTCCATGCAAAAAGTTACATTTAGATATTTAGCTATATGACTGTCAGCTTTCTAATTTAATGTATTGAAGGCAAAGATATTTAACACATAGTGAGAACTGCTACTATTTATCTCTCAATATTGTCTGTAAAAAACATGGTAAAAGTTATTCTTTCAGTGAGACAACAGAGCAAGCTTCTGCAGTTCCACTACGTTTTGATAACAGTTAAATATTATTTTGATAATAACATATATTTCAATGTTGATGAACTTCATACTGTTCATTCATAATCTGATTGTCTTTGTAGCTCACTGTTGAAAAAAAACAAAAACATTACAATTACAAAATAATTATATCTACAGCCCCTAAACACACAAACACACTGCTTTCATAAATAACACACTTGTTCTGCAATAATATGTTTTGTTTCCTGTCATTTTTGTTAGGAAAGGACATGCCTGAAAGACACGACATTTTCTCCTTCTCTGAGGGTCAAGAGGAACATTAAAAGCTGATGTTATGAGATTTTAAGACCAGTACAGGACATTCACTAATAAACTACTTTTATTGTAAAAACAGTCAGCTGATCGAATGCAGCTATTTCCACATCTACACTCCATCCGCTGATTATTTCTATTTGCCTCACTTTATGAGCTTCACATCACCTGTGCCTTGTACCGCAGGGTTTGCAACGTCACAAATACATGGGGCCAATCTTCAGTCAGATGTGAATGTGTAATCTAACATTTTCAGTAAGAATAATGGACAAAAGGAGAGCAAATACAATTTATTGAAATGTGAACCAAAAGTTAATCAAATGTTTTAAATAAAAAGCACATATGGACAGAAGGTGTAAACCTATTAAATGTATTAAACACATTTAGTCAAATAAAGTGACAGACTAGGCCTGTGCAGTTGGTATGAGCTTTGCCCAGCATGGGCTCCTCCATCAGGCCTGGTCCTCCTCGCAGAGGAAAGACCCTCAGTCCTCTCCAAACCAACAGACTGGACGTCCATCACACGGAGGTTTCTCCCTGAAGTCTCTGCTGCTCTCTGGACACCATGCTGTCTCAATCCGTCCACACTGAATATGAGAGGGGGAAAATGAAAATAATAAATGCTTTAGACAATAAGAAACATAAAGTTGACTGTTGAGTTGCTCAGTTTTTTTTAGATTGTCACTATTACTGTATAACTAATAACTCAGGTTAAGAGGCACATTCAAATAAAGATTGGTCTTTAAATACATGTTGTCTTTTGAATTGTTTGTCTGAAGTCAAGGATCTAGAACTGGTACTTAGTTTTTAATGATACGGTCTGGTTATTATGCTGTTTGGAGGAGGCCTCACAGGTAAGAGCGCTAACTAGCTACCATCACATGTACCTTAGCTTGACTTAAATGTATTAAACGTATAGTTAAGTGATATCAAAATATAAATAAGTAATGTCACGCAAACATATTAATATTTGCTTGATTCCAGTGTTGAATTTAGCACAATTGCATACAAACGTTAAGGGGTTTTAAGATTCTGAAGTATTATGCTAAAAACTCAATAACTTAGATTATTATTTATAGTTTTGCTGAATAGTTTCATGTCCGCTTACCTTAGAAACGTAAAATGCGACGGCAGCGTGCAGATGGGGAGCAAGTTAGCTTAGCTTGGTAGCTTCAGCTAGCTCTGGAACTTTCAGCTCGGTGGCAGCAGGTCCCGCCTCGGCTCCGCCTCTTTGCCCTTATTTGGAGCAGGCTGGAGAAGGCGGGAGTTGAACTCTGACGTCACTGTTGAGCCGTTAGTGGCCGACTCCGCCTACTAAGGGCTTCACGGCAACTCTGCAGAATCCTATGGGTGACGTCACGGACCCCACCTCAGGGTTGCCAACTCTCACGCATCTGGCGTGTGACACACGCTTTCACTCTCAATCTCACGCTCTCACGCTGCCCAAACTATTCTCACGCCAAAAAACAAGAATACCGAAGACTAGAAACGGTTTTGAAAACTTTTGTCACGTAGTGATCGTCTTCTCAATAAAACGTCTTTGATAATGTCTTCTGGCCAATCAGAATCAAGATAACGGCGTGGTGTTGTTGCAGGAAGTCCCGACGGAGAATACTTTTGCTGAAGTACATCTCTATATACATCGATACAACATTACGTGTTGATAGAAATCAACACATAATGAAATGAGACCCCACGGTTTGATGATTGATAGGTGTGTGGGCTGTCTTTCATTTTGACACACAGAACAATGGGGGCTATCCACAATGTAAAGTAATTCACACAGCCTCTTCCCTCTTCTCTCTGTGAGGAGCAGCAGGTTCAGCTTTCAGAACAAAGTAACACAAAACTAAAATGGCATTCATTTTTTTAAATATGTCGTGTAGTAATAGATTTATTTATCTTTCTTCTCAAGAGAGTACCAGAATGTGTATTTTATGTTAGTATTTCAAAAAATCTCCTGGTGGAGAATCCCCCCAGACCCCCCTGCATGGGTTGGGTTTTCAGCAGGTCAACTCTTTCACTTGTGGGGAAGTTGCAGTATTGGCTCCAGGTCGCCCTTTTTATTTACTACAAGACAAATGTGCCTTTTTATTTCATACAGTTCAATTTGGATTGAGACAAGGAAATAATCTAAACCTCACGCGTGGCGTTTCACTGTCAAGGGGAGCGTGTATGTAATTACATTGCAAATACTGACTTGAGCCCCACCACTGTATGGGTTAGCCCTACCATAGATTACCCAACAAAAATACTCTCTGGCAACTGCCGACCCGTATTGCGCATGCGCAGATCTAAGATCCAGTAGAAATTATAAAAAAGTAAAAGTCTGCTGCTTATTGTTCTACTAGGCCAAAATAGAGTGTGTTAATTAACATATTTGGCAGTTTGGAGTAAGTCTAGATTTGTTTGTGTGTGTGTGTGTTTCATGTATAGGCCTCTCACGATAATTAATTTTGTTGGATACATTTTCCCGGAAATTATTGCGATAAACGATAATATTGTCGGCACCGTTGTATGACCATTTTAGACCCCTGACATAATGATAATATATAATAATAATTCGAGTACATCCTTTCAAACTGCTAGTCACATCCTCATGTAAATGGAAATTTATCGAGTTCATTTTTATTTATCGTACGATAAGTCAATTAATTGCTTATCAGGCACACAATAAAACAGTGGAAACAAACATGTGTTTGACTTTCATTAGTGAATGAAACTTTGTGCCCTTTATAGTCTGTGTCCAATATTGTGTATTTGTATATTGTATATATATCCTATATATATGCTAAGGTCCCGCTGTTGACACGATAGCAGTCATTTCGTGCGCATACGTGTAATTAAACCCATGATATCAAAATCTCACTCCAGCCAGGTACCCAAAGTTGGCAACCCTGACCTACGTCCATTTATACAGTCTATGGTCCAGACCCACTTTTGGAATCAAATGATGACGTCAGTGGGATTATCTCCTTTATCAACTCCTAAGCATCCCCGGGACAACATCACTAGCCCCGCTCCTAAAAAGGTGTGAATTTGAGCCAATCAAGGACTACTACTACTAGGTCGTCCTTAGACGAGTTTGCCAACGGGTTCGCCAATCCTCACGGTCCTCCATACACCCGGCCAGCTCTGTGGAGCTTTCCACCCCCACATCCTTCCTCAGCACCTCCACGTATGTTGGCGTGGGGCGCCCTCTTGGTCGGTGCCCGTGTGTTGGCTCCCAGAGTACTAACTTGCCAGCTGGAAGTTCCTGGTGTCGATGGCAGTGACCTGCAAATTTCAGTTTCCTGGATGCCACCTTGTCACTCAGCCTGGGTAGCCCACCAGGACTAGCCCCGCTCCTACATTTTTGAGAGATTTCTGAGGAGATTTTTCATATTTTTGGAGAGAAATAAAGGTGGGTGCAACTTAGAAAATAGCCATAAAGCTAGTTAGCATAAAAAACGCTAATTAGCATCTGCTAGCTAGTTACAAACGTTAATTAGCATCTTCTAGCTAGTTAGCATTACAAACACTAATAGCATCTGCTAGCTACTTAACATTAAAAACGCTAATTAGCATCTGCTAGCTAGTTAACATTAAAAACGCTAATTAGCATCTGCTAGCTAGTTAACATTAAAAAAAACGCTAATAAGCATATGCTAGCTAGTTAAAATGTGTTGTCCCTGGGTCATCATAGATGTTGTTCCCATGAATTGAAAAAATACTGGCAAACTGCATAGGTAGCTAATTGTACGTTAACATTATATGTATTCACTCAGCAGGCATGGATAGTTTTGTTACCAAGACCAAGAGAGTTCGGCTTGAGGTTGTGCAAGGGGAGCAGGTAATATTAACTTTTCTATATAAATAAAATTGACATTGAAATGATGAACAAATCTTTAAGTCATGTGTCATTTAATATGGTGTGTGAAATTAAATACCAGTTAAACAGAGAAAATGCAGATGCAACTTGATTCATTTGTTAATTCCAGGGGACGGTGAGCACTAGTGAGAGTGCAGAGGGCAGTGTAGTAGACACAGCAGGTGGTGTTGAGGCAGCAGGTGCAGGTGTTGAGGCAGGAACAGGTGACCAAACAGCACAGTTCCCAGTTCCAACTTCCACAGTTCAAACCCTTCAATTCACCTAGACATAGTAAGGAGAGCACTTTTCAAATGCTTTATTCTTACACCAAATGCATTATAATTACAGCTCCTCATCACCGCAAGTCTGGCTGGAATCCTGACTGGTTAAAGGACCCTCTCTTCAACACTTGGTTGTACAACACCAAAAATGGTAGAAATTACATTTGTATGTGTTTAATATCAATTAGTGTATGTAAGAATTATTCAACTAACAAACTTTTGGTTTTTAAGGCATGTTTTGCAGGCTCTGTAGGCTACACAAGCCTCCTCATACTAAAGGCCCTCGGCAAAGGTCCTTTATTGAAGCTGGGTACACGGTCTACAGGAAGGATGTGATCCAGCACCACCTGAAATCCGAACTGCATCAATACAGTGTGGGAAAGCAGGCGTCCCTGGCTTCAGGTATAGAATTATCTTTTAACAAAAAGCCTAGTAAATTCGTACAAGATATTAACCATGTTTGGCATGCACTCTTATTAAATATTTGCTCTTCGTGCAGGCCTCAGTGTGGTGCAGGCTTTTGAGCCCAATATTGTCATGGAGCATGAAGCCATCATAGGAGGGTTCAAATGCCTATACTGGCTCATGAAGAATGAAATATCGCACCACAACAACTACCCAAAGCTCCTCAGCCTAACGCAATTATTGGGTTGCAGCTACTTTGCAAAGCTGAAGGTAATTAACCCTTTACACTATGAAATTGAACTGATACCACACAAGCCTATCTAATTGATGCATCTCCTTTTCTTAGCTGGACCAGAGGAGTAATTATCACTCCCACAGGATTGTGGACGAAATGCTGGAGATCCTTGCGAAGGTAAAGTAAAGCTATTCACTATTTTTACTCAGTCGTGTTCTATTGGTTAAATGGAATATTGGATTCATGCATTGTTATATTGTGTTCAATAGATGTGTTTTTGGTTCCTGAAATGTTACCCAGTCTGCTTGAATACCCAAGAAAAATATCTCCATGGAATCAATCAAATATCTCATTCTACTTGTAGATTGTAGAGTCCTCTATCATGGAGAAGATGAGGGTCTCAGCAGCTATCGGCCTTGAGGTGGATGAAACCACAGATGTTTCTGTGATCCGGCAGCTCGATCTACATGTCAGGTGCGGTGTTTTTGAAGGTGTTCAGTGCGTATAAAGATTTAAGGCATTGATGGTATTTTAATGTATGACAATCAAATGTTATTTCAGACTCCTGGACAAGGATGGACTCGTCTACACGCACTTCCTTGACCTGGTCCCATTGGACGATGGGAAGGCTGATACAGTTGTTGCTGCCATCAAACGCGTGATTCAGGAGAAGGGGCTCCCGACTAACAAGCTATACGGGCTCGGGACTGATGGAGCAGCAGTGATGACTGGTATGAAGTCAGTATTACATTTGATGGATTGTGTGAAATGAGGGAAATGACACCTCAACACTAAATTGATATCTTAAACCTAGGTCGTCTGAATGGTGTGGCCAAGCAGCTCACTGATGATATCCCGTGGCTGGTGGCTGTGGCCTGCGCGGCCCATAGATTGGCGCTGGCGTGTAAGGGGGCCTCAGAGACGGTGAAGTACATGGCCACCTTCCGCAACCACCTACAGGACCTGCATCTTTTCTTTCGCAACAGCGCCAATCGGTCAGCCGCCCTGCACAATGCTGCCACCACACTCGGTTTGAGTGACCTGAAGGTCAAGGTATGTAATCAACAATTTTCACAATATAATTGAACATTTAGTGTGATTATTTTATTCTTATCAGTGTTTCTATGTATGTTTAGGAAGTCAAGGACACAAGATGGTTGTCGCAGGAGATGGCAGTCCAGAATCTGCGGAGGAACCTGCCAGCCGTCCTCTCTGCTCTTGCTGATGAGGCCACCACCAGAAAGTGTCCAATAGCCAAAGGCCTGTACACCTTTTGCGCAACATACCGTTTTGTGGCTGCCCTGTACCTGCAGGCGGATGTGTTGCCGCACATCTGCCTCCTCTCAAAGGTGTTCCAGAAGGCCAACGTAAACTTCTTACACATTAAGACGCAGGTATGAATGTCATGTCAAAAATGATGCTTTTCATGGTGGAATGACTTCCAGATATTGGCTGGTATTCCCAAGGAGTTAAGCAAGCACTTAGCCCATAGACATATGGGCAAAGGGCTTGCTTAACTCTTGGGAATACCAGCCATTATCTTGTCATCTTGAATGTCTTTACACATTTAGGTTCCAGCCACACTGGCAACCATCAGGAGTTGTTGGGAGGCAGGCGAGGCCCCACTGCCCGGGACTCACCTCCATCGGCTTCATGCGGACCTGGACGATCCTGTGGGACTTGGGCCATTCAACATCTGCCACAAGGAGGAGCGGGTCAGGAGGGGACGGGACGGGACCTCCAGGACCCTCCCAGGGACGTGCTGTGGGCCAGATTTGTTAAAGAAGTAAATACATCCTCTTCAACTGTTACTTGAGAATTGTAAGTATTTTTCCCCCTTGAGCTGAAAAATGAACTAAATTGAACCTATAATTCCAGGTGCTCAAACTATACCTGAGTGGATTGGAGAGCAACCTCAAGAACAGGTTCCCAGACGTCGAGTTGTTGGGGGCCTTTGTTGTGCTTAGGCAGCAATGGCAGACGAAGACACCAACATTGAAAACCTTGACATTCTTGCGAGGAAGTTCATCCCAGGGCGGGAAGAAGACCTTAAAACGGAGTGGTACTCCTTCAAACCCCAACTCACAGGAGCTTTCAAGGTAAGTAAACTTGCCTGTTTTTGTTTACCAGAATTGATTAATCTTGTCTTGCGTATGGTTAATTTTATTGTATGCTCTTTTTCCAAACTTCTGAAGGACAACAGTCAAGCTGAGATCATGCAGATGCTGGCAAGCGAGAACGATGAGTGGGCCGAACTCTATCCTCTACTCGGCAAGCTTTCTGCAGCTGGGCTGGTGATCCCGGTCTCAAGTGTGAACTGTGAGCGAGACTTCTCGACGATGAACCGGGTACGGAAAATACATACATCCAAATTATTTCACAGGTGCAGCCTGGATATGAAAAAAACTTTGGAGCATAAAAGCTGTATAAAGAAAGCCCAAGTGTCTGATGGTGGCCTCTGCTGGCTACTTCTGAACTGCAGCTCAATGATTGTACAGTCATCTTTTTTATTTTCTAGCACTTGTTTTGATTTTTGCATGGTTATTTTAATGCTTGTGCCTGTTTTCATGCTTTTCAGGTGAAAACTGACCTGCGAAATAGACTTCAGGGGGAGCACCTGGCAGCATGCCTCCGAATATCCATAGATGGACCGGAATCGGAACACTTTCCATACCAGAAAGCCCTGGAGAGGTTTTTTGACAAGCCGCGACGGATCCACTGCTCAAACAGGCTGTGCCGTCTGTGCAACCATTACGTTTGTTGCTCATTTCATTCACCAGTTTGTATATAGTTAAAATAAAGTTATCCGGTGATTGACGATCAGATACCAGTGTGGAGTTTTCTGTCTTAAATTTGATATAGATCATGTTCTTTGTTGGTTTGTGAGGATGTTCATACACACTTGGTAATCAATCAATCAATGTTTATTTATATAGCCCAATATCACAAATGTTACATTTGTCTCAGTGGACTTTACAGTTTGTACAAAATATCAGTATGACAATACGACACCCTCTGTCCTTAGACCCTCACATCGTACAAGTAAAAACTTCCAGAGAAAACCCACAGTTTAAAGGGAAAAATGGGAGAAACCTCAGGGAGAGCAACAGAGGAGGGATCCCTCTCCCAGGACGGACAGACGTGCAATAGATGCCGTGTGTAAATTGAAAAGATAATACATTTGCAACATAGGTAGACCAAATGTTTGGAATTGCATGTGTGTATAATAGGAAGATGAATCCACGAGGTAAGATGTGTGTGTGAAAGAAGACCACAAAAAACAGCAGTGACTGCTCTCAGCTGTTTAACACTTAAAGACCTAGACACCATCACCAGTTGTAGGTTGTTTGAAGTGCAGTGTTACTATGAAAATTCACTAGAATGCAGGAATTGAGAAAAATCTCAACATTTTTCCCGATAAAAGTATTAATAGCCCCGATAATATACAATATATTTTTTCGGTAAAAAATAAGAAAAAAATACTGCGGTGTGGGTGGATTGGGATGAGGGGCGCTTGTTTTTCACTCGGCTCCTCCCGTTTTGCCAGTACTGTGGTATTAGTGGTTTAGGAAGAGGGGAGTTTTTCACAAATCCAGCGCTCCCTAACTCATGCCTGGCTGTGACGTAAATGGTGTGCGGCCGTGAAGCCAGGACAGTAAACAAACATGTCGTCGGTAGTATGGGACTATTTCAAAGTTTCAGAGTTAGATAGTTCGCTTGCTATTTGTATTAACAAATGCAATGCAGAAGTTCCACGAGGAGGGAAAAAGGCAACGAGCTATAATACTTCCAACCTGATTAGTCACCTGAAACATCGCCATCGCTACGATGGTGTGTTAAAAGCGTACGAAGACGCCTGCGCTGCTAAACTAGGGGCGAATCCAAAGCCAGCTGCAAAGGCACCGGGGCTTTTACCTATCGACGAGGCTTTTGAAAAAGGCAAGAAGTTTGCCAGAGACGACCCCAGGGCTAAAACGATCTCTAACTTCATCATAGAAATGATGGCGCTTGACGACCAGCCCTTCTCCCTCGTCGAAGATAAAGGATTCAGTTGGCTAGTTCATCATTTAACCAGATGTGCAAAAACTACAGGTACATTTAATATGTATATATATTATATTATTATCGGGTATCGGTCTTGAGAAGCAGGAAGTTATCAGTATCGGTTTCAAAAAAACAATATCGTGCATCCCTAACAAAAATATGTCAACACGCTGCCAGCAAATGTTCATTATCATTAAATGGTATGCTTTGTTATCGTTGAGGGTGTATTAAAGCATTAGCAGTGAAATGTTGTGGAACCAGTTATGCAGCTGATTCAATAGATGAAGGTGATAACTTGGCAGGAGGAACCATGGCCAGGTGTGTATAAAAGGATGCTGCAGGTGGATGTGAGCAGCAGATACTTGGAGACAGAAGTGAATTCAGGAAAAGATGGCCGCCGCTCTGCTGCTCCTGCTTCAGCTGGTCTCACTGGCGTCTGCATCACATCACTACGGGGGAACCGTGACCTATAGCTACAAAGGAAGAAACCCTGATGGATCATTTAGGGTGAGAGAAACTACTTTGAAACCTTTGCATCAGTTAATAATTAACTAATTTATTCATTTTTATGACGTTGTTAATTTTACACTCACTTCTGTTAAAGTTTTTGCCATACATTAAATATAGTTTACCTCAATGTTTTCTTTTAACTGTGTTGTCTAGCTTTTTACCTTGATTGGTACAGTATATGTCAAAGCACAAAATACATTGGAAATAGCGATAAAAATATGCATTAATATTATTTTAATTTGTTTCAAAGGTGGACTTTCGCGACAGGGCGACCTATGATGGGTGTCTGTACTCCCATTACCAGACATGTAGCACTGGCAACTGTGGCTTACTCACTAATCAACAGAGAGGCATAACTGACAGGAGCACCAATGCACCGCAAAGAAACAGAGAATGGTGTGAAACAGAAACAGTTCAACAAAGAAAAGTCCCAACTGACAAACCGTTTCAGATGAGGTGAGCTTTTTCTCTGACTCAAATCATGCTAATGTTATATGAGTCTCCATAATTGCATTGCAAACACTTGTATTTGTTGTTTTGATGCTTATCATAAAATAATAAATAAAAACAAGCATCTGTTTATTAATGCAGTATTTGTTTGCACACCTATCAGGGCAAGTAGCTGTTGTTGGATCCCAACACGTAACGGGGTTAGAGGTTGGAGATTTCGAACTCAAGTAGATTTGGGATCAAGATCTGACACTGGCAAACCAAACAGATCCCCAGACATTGCCATTCTACCTTTCCTACGGTAAGCTCATTCTTTATGTTGTTGTTTGATTAAATCGCTCTGTATGTACAGTTGTTAGATGATTGCTTTACAATTGCCTCTATTTAATAACTGTGTCTACTGCTTCCATTCATTTGAATGAAATTATATTCATTAAAAAAAGGTCAACTCGCGTTGTGTTTATTCTTTGAAATGGGTGTGTAATGTGCATATAAGTATCAATTTAAATTCTTTGAGGGTGTGTTTGGGGCCACCCTAAAATAAGCCACTGTGGCCGTGCTTACTCTACTACCTCACATGTGCAGTTATAACTCTGATTATTTGATGCTTTTGGGTTTTATGGGCAGAACAGTGTTCCTCACTCTTGTTAATGTGTCCTTTCAAGAGTTCCCCAGAACTGCCCACGGACCTACAAGCTGATGTCCTTCGACCCTGATGGAGACACAGTTCGCTGCAGATATGGAAATATCAGAAATGTAGAGTGCAGCGGATGTAACCAACCTTCAGGCTTTGTCTTGGATCAGGTCTGTGAATTAAAAATCTATTTCCTTATACATTTTCCAATACCTGACTGAGCCTGTGCCTCACTAAATGTCTGAATGTTTACATTGTTAGGGTTCCTGCTCCTTACATTACCGCAATGCCATCGCCAACTCAAGTGTTTTTGGATTTGAGTTGGTGGTGGAGGACTTCCCGCAAAGGCCCATCTCTCTATCCTACACCGATGGAACCCAATCCTACAAGGCTCCACTGATTCCCATGAGGCATAAACGAGCCTACTACCACACATATCCTCCCACGACTTCAGCACCAATCACGACTCCAGCGCCTAACACTATGGCACCAACAACACACCCATGGTGGTGGCGGGGGTATCATACACCTCCAGCACCGACCACAACTGCAGCACCAACCACAACCCCATGGGGGTGGTGGTATCATTCTACACCTCCAGCACCGACCACAACTGCAGCACCAACCACAACCCCATGGGGGGGGTGGTATCATTCTACACCTCCAGCACCGACCACAACTGCAGCACCAACCCCATGGGGGGGGTGGTATCATTCTACACCTCCAGCACCGACCACAACTGCAGCACCAACCCCATGGGGGGGGTGGTATCATTCTACACCTCCAGCACCGACCACAACTCCAGCACCAACCCCATGGGGGGGGTGGTATCATTCTACACCTCCAGCACCGACCACAACTGCAGCACCAACCACAACCCCATGGGGGGGGTGGTATCATTCTACACCTCCAGCACCGACCACAACTGCAGCACCAACTACAACCCCATGGGGGTGGTGGTATCATTCTACACCTCCAGCACCGACCACAACTGCAGCACCAACCACAACCCCATGGGGGGGGTGGTATCATTCTACACCTCCAGCACCGACCACAACTGCAGCACCAACTACAACCCCATGGGGGTGGTGGTATCATTCTACACCTCCAGCACCGACCACAACTGCAGCAACAACTACACGTCAGACACCAGCCCCACCTCTACCCATATACCGGCCGTGGCTGCATACAACTCCAACCACCACAGACAACAGACACCTGCATGGCACCACGCCTCCTCTCAGTAAACTGCCTTTGCAATTCTCCTTTCTTGGTGAGTATGGTTGTACTTGTCCTCAATTAGTAAATCCATACTTACAGAAAAGTTGTTGCTGCACTGCCTTCAATGGGTGTAACCTGTCATGCACCTCTTGCAGCTCTAGTGACACCTTAATGTGCAACGTCTTATTTTTTGTTCTACATTTTGGTTTTAAATACATTCTTTAGCATAAGAAGTAAGTAAATGTTCTACACCTGCATAGAGACATTTTAGTTGTTCTGAAAACCCTAACCCTAACCCTTAGGTGAGGTTGACTCACAATTATGGATTTGCGATTTTCCTTTGGTTTCTTAGGTTTATGCAAATGTACATGACCGGCTCTTTCAGGTAAAATATTAGAAATGTGAGGGATTAGGGTTGTGACATTTATACATCCGGAAAAATGCCAGGATTGTTGGATCTTTCAAAAAAAATCATTACATTAGTATTTTGAAGCACTCGTTTTTTTATTTCTTTCAAGTGGTCTATAGCGCCATCTGGTGGAATTTCTTATTTTTAGAAATAATTTTCAAAATGTTGTCTATGTGTCGGTGCCTTAACAAGAGGCCAGAATCAAGGAACTTACAATTATGGTTTTGAAGATGGGCTTCATTTGAAAATGAATGGGGGTGCGGTAAAATGTCAGGGATAATACGGCCTCACAGCTTTCTGCAACAGTCCGCACAAACTAGTGGAAAAGCCGTAATTTGAAGATAGCAATTTTTGGATTTCCCTCTTCAAAACCCTCACCTGAAGATAATTAGCCTTTGACAGCTAATGAATATAATCTGCTGTGACAGCTTTGATGTGTTGAGCAACAGACAATGACAAAGTGGTTTTAAGAACTGATCAAGAACTCTTCAAGAACTGTTGCACTTTTTAACTGCAGTGGACCCACCTGCTCCCTCATGTGTTGATGGACTCTACTTGCCAAAGTTTGTGCACCCAACACCTGACGATGGACAACACATCAATGCCGAGGTCAACAAAGAAGTGGAGATCAGAGTCCGAGCACAAGCTTCACATGCAACGTAAGTGAGAATCAACGTGATGAGTATTGCCTTGTGGCGTCAGAACTAGTGTTAATTTTGTTGACTAAAACAATGACGAAATATGTTCGTCAACGACCTTTTTTTCCATTACGAAAACGAGACGATGAAGAGACGGCACCGACGGCAGTAAACAATAACTGTAACGAAATCATCATGCAATATCGTTGACGAAAAGTGACGAGACGAAAATGTAGTTTACTAAATAAAAACTATGCCAAAATCTCTCTTTACTTTCGTTGACGAAAAATGAGGAGACGAAATATTATCAAAGATAACGTTACGTCTCTGATAGTCAGTTTTTCTCCCAGCAGTTCCATTTCCTCCGGTGCTGCGGCAGGGCAGCAGCTGTGTGTCCGTGCTGCGGCAGGGCAGCAGCTGTGTGTCTGTGCTGCGCGCGGGCGGTACATTTGAATTACATCGGGCAGCGGCACACTGTGAACTGTCAGGAAGACTGGGGTCTAACTCATGGTCTCTAACTAACCTTATTCAACATCAAATAAAATGGCAACAACAGGGCTTGGGAGCAGTGGTCGCACTCGCGTTAACCAAATACCCCCCCGTCAGCGTGAGTGAGTGATAAATTGTGTACTCGACGGGTAATAATGGATTATGACGTAAATGTTACAATCCTGTCCGTCAAAATGACTGACAACGAAAAAGTCTAAAGCCACCACTGCTTGGGAGAAAGAAACGATGTGATATTTGGGCCCATTTTCGCTACAATGAGGCGGAGAAAAAAGGCGAATGCATTGTTTCATCAGAAGGGAAGCAATGTGGCCACAGCTGGTAAAAACACCACAAACCTGAGCAGATACTCTCTGCAAAGCTTCTTAATCATTCAACCTGTGTTTTTCATCAAATAAGGACAAGATATAATCTTATGTTTTTATATATGCTAAAATGACAAAGTATTGGTTTTGGCTAGACTAGTTTGACTGAAATGTTCTATATAATCTGAACTAAAAAAGACAACAGTTTTCATTGACAAAAAGTAGACTAAAATAATTAGTTTTCTTTGACTAAAATAAGACTAAAATGCTCAGACTTTTAGTCGACTAAAACTTGACTAAACAAAAACAGGATGAAGGTGACTAAATATGACTAAAACTAAAAAGGAAATGTAACAAAGGACTAAGACTAAAACTAAATTAAAAAATAGCTGATGAAATTAACACTAGTCAGAACATTATCAGCATTTCTGCTAGTGAGATAACTTCAGCGATAAAAAGGAAATACCTGGTTTCTTTCTTTTGTTTTCACACAGACTACATGATATCATCATCAGTGGGCCACTGAATATCACCAAGCACAGAAGCACACATGGAGACTTTGTCATTAGGTGGACGCCTGGCCCTGATGATGTGGGAGATCATTACCCAATCTGCTTTGCTGTTGAATCAGTAATCGAGTGAGTGAGCCTTACATTTATTTTCTATTTGATACAAATAGTATGCATTTGTGTGTGTTAAATATTGATTTCACTTTTCACACATTTTACAGTCCCGCCTCTACCATCCCCCCTAAAACTACAAAAATGTACCATCCTCACGTCCCCCAATCTCCACAGTAAGTAACAGTTTGACATTTTTGAATCAAACTTAAAAAGCTATAAACGACATTGACATAAACAAATAAATCGTCTGCATATTGATTTGAGTGACTATGTGGTCAAAGTTACCTAAAATTCAAACACCTTACTGAATGAGTAACAGGCATTACTCCTTAAACCAAAAAAACGATTCAAGATAAATCTTTGGTCATTGATGCTTTTCAGGTCCGGCATCTATCAGTCCGAGATGAGGTGCGTTCTGGTGAACATCGGTCAAAGACTAAGTAAGAACGATTTTTGTTTAACATCAACATTGTATAGTAGATCTACAACTGGAAAGGCGTTTATATCATAACCAAAAGGTTACATTCCATTAGTGGCTTCATGGACTTTTGCAAGGCCGTTGTGTTTGATCAAATCAAACCCATTACTGTAGGCGAAAAACACCACCCATGCCCTGAATTTATATTAACTGAAACCTTTCTTTTGGGTCAAACAATATTTAAGGAGCAAACAAGTCAATATAAATCTTTGTTAACTAGCTTTGCAGTCTTCTTCTTGTCTGTTCTGGAGCGTTACTGCCACCTGTAGACTAGAACCATCAGTGTAATGTGTATTTATTTTGTAAACTATTTATTTGATCTAGTTGAATCCCATGTGACCTGCCATGAGTCCTCAATGACGGTAGAGGTTGAGAGATCTTCTCTCCCTGGACTCCATGAGGATCATTTACGCCTCAATGACCCCAGCAACACGGCCTGCAACCTGCAGACAAACTCCAACAGCACGCACATCATCGCGGTCGTACCCCTCAACGCCTGCGGCACTCAGATCGAGGTAACAATAGAGCATCTGTTTCATCACCTGCCGGGTTTTTCTCTAAACTACTTTTTATTAGGAGTATGACGGGGACTGGGTCCTAAAAATATTCATATAAGTAAAATTACAATGTTTTAGACATTAAAGCATATAAACAGGTTCTAGTTGACACCCCAAATACACATATGAACGTGAACACAATATGTCCCGTTTAACTCTGCAGGAAGATGAGGAAAACCTGGTTTTCAAAAATGAAATCACCACGGTGGACAACATACACGACCTGATCACCAGGAACCACCTGCTGGACGTCCAGTTCTACTGCCAGTACCCCAAACGTGGGAACGTGTCGCAGGGCTTCACAGCACACAGGAGGAATGTGGTGGTGTGGGATAAAGGCTTCGGAAAGTTCACCTACGAGTTTGAGTTCTACCCAGACAGCCAATATAGACAAATGGTTGATCCAGGGCTGTACCCTCTGGAGTACGATGTGACGAACAAGATCTACATGCAGATAGAGGCCAAATCTACCGTCAACAACACCCAGCTGTTTGTGGAGTCCTGCAGTGCAGCACCATATGACACCCCCAACTACTGGCCAACATACTCCATCATCGAGAATGGGTAGGCATGAGCATTGAGCACGCCATCTAGTGGCAACAGGGGACATAACAATGCATTGGGAAAGATGTGCTGTGTCATAGGTTTGTAACTAAACTGCCCGTAGGTGGGAATGACGTGTTTTCAGGCAGTGCATTCATATGGGATTTAATCAGGAAAAACAATTATTATTATTGTCTTTATTGAACAAGGACCATCAATACAGGTTAATCTCAAAAAGAGAACATTTCTGCTTGCTTTTAACTCATTTCCATCTGCAGTCCTCCATCAGGTACACACTTTTGTTAAAAAACAAAAAAAACGAGTATGTTTCAAACTTTTTGAAAAAGGCTTCCAAAAATACATTTCGCTAAATGTGGCTTTTGGTGTCTGAATTGATTTCCTTTTAATGTATCAAAATTAGCATTAGATTAGCAATTTTAGCGATTACCAATCGTGAGGCATGGACTCACAGACGCAATATTTCTTAACTTTTCTTTTTGTTGTTACTGTTAGGTGTAATGTGGACCAAACGGTGCAGGTGCATCGGAGCGCCAACCCGAGACAGTTCAGGTTCAGCATGGAGGCCTTCCAGTTCATCGGCTTGCACGACCAGGTGAACAATCTAATATGTGTCTATACTCTCTGATCTTTTACTTAATACAAATCATTAATACCACAGTGTAGGAATACTCTGTTGCATGTAGTCTGACATTTTTACTAAAGTAAAAGCACAAAAGTGTCGATATATTTTGTCTTTGATCCAACCACAGCTCTGTTATTTGTCCACTTGAAAAAAAGTCTGTATATCTGCTGATGTAATGACAGCGTGTTGTGTTGCGTTCAGGTGTACATCAGCTGTTCAGTGCTGATGTGTGAGGCAGGGAGCAGCGGCACCAGGTGCTCACAGGGGTGCATCAACTCCCCCCTTACTGGGCATCATCATCACCGCAAGAGAGAGGCCATCACTCAGAGCGCCAGGCACTTCATTTCCCAGGGTCCTCTGCGTTTGAAGAGATCAGCGGAGAGCACCGGGAGCCCAGGTACGTTTTCCCTCAGAAGTACCTGCCTACTTTGAGGCTACGGTTGAAAAGTGAAAATTAGGACCTGTGTCTTCTCCTAACCACTTTTCCTTAATGGGACTTCTGGAACATAGTGACATCACTAGTTATCACTTGCGCTCCTATTGGCTTGTGCTGCAACACATTGTACGTGATAGGCTAAGGGGCGGGACATCTCTACTGTAAGTGGTTGACCAATCACAACAGAGCCGGCCAGCTAACCAATCAGAGCAGACTGGGCTCTGGTTTCAAACAGAGGGTGAAAAGAGGTGCTGCCGCACAGACAGTATGAGAGAAATAAAGAGCTTTTTGAACATTAAAGCATGGAGACATGTCCCAGTAGAGACACTACTGATATGAGAATGAGCAGATTAGGTTCTAACCTTAGTGAAAAAGTGATGGGCCTTAGGTATTGTGGGACAGGATTTTCCAGTGTATCCTAAAGGAGATATCAAGCATTAAAGCTTCTTTCCTATCATCAACATTTTAAAAAGCTGTTATCATGGATGCCACTTAGAGACCTCGGGTCGTTTCACTCGGTAAGGAACCTTCCTGGACTAATAAGACAATTCGACCATGTCCTTAGTTAGTCTTTGGAAATGTGAAATTAAAATAACGTTTCTCTTTCTCTCCAGCGACCCCCCTGAATCTGAACCTGGTGTTCATCGTTGGATGTCTTCTTGCAGCCGTTGGCATGATCAGTGCAGTGGCCCTGTACAAAGTCAGAGCCTCAAAGGTCAAATACCAACCGTTGCCCTCTTTCGAAAACTAAGAAAGCGGCCATTTCAGAATACCCATTTTTTTATCGGTTGCATTTGACTACATTAAGCTTCTTGTTTTTTAATGCTATCAGATAACGAGTCTTCATTTGTGCCTTATGGGTTATAAGTGGTGTTTATTGTGGTGTTAACCACTGTTTACAGTGTAATCCTATGTAGCTTCACAAGTGATTCTTCTATCATGTACTCCATTATGATTTAAAACTTGATTGATATGTGTATCCAATCAGTGTAATGCTTAATGTTAATAGTACATGTACAACTTAATTGTTCCGCCTTATCCTAACTCCTTTGGGCTTAAAGTTTCAATAAAAACTCTCTCATATCTCTTTTGCTTTTGTCCAATTTATTTCTCTTTCTCTCTTGCATCAAACACACATCTTGGATAGTTTATTTAATATAATACGAATGGCATTATTTGTAATGCTTTCCTGTTGCTGAACCTCATTATTACCCTTTATGTGCATTTGACCTGGGATTGAGCTCTGTATTTATTTACTGTTGAAGATGACTGGTAAAGGAAAGTTGTCATATAGATATGAGGGAGAAAAGTGTTTAATAAAACAACTTGATATAACATAAGTTTATAAATCCTGATTATAGAGAGTAGATTACTTTGAGGTTTCAGCGATTGAATGGAAACAGTCCCATTTGTTAAATTATTGCAATTATAAGGTTTTTAAACCCATAAACTAACGTTCAGTTGTAGAAACGGGTAATTGAATCCTCTCAGTAACATTATAATGTAGAGATTCTGCATTATGTATTCTAATGTTGATATGCCACACGATGGCACCACTATTATTGTCACAATCTTAAGGAGAACCCAAATGCAGCACTCGAGAAACCAAGGAGAATTGGTAATAAACTTTATTGGAGATTCCACTGGATCTGAGGAATACCAACCGAGCAGTTTAACGCACCGGAGGACAGCGGGCAGAAGGTGAGTCAGGGACAGGCAGAGAGTCAGGGAGTAAGCGAGGCGGTCAGCGTAGATACAGGCAGGGTCGGATAACAGGCCAGACAGGATGATCAGGGGACAGGCAGAGCAGGCAGATCGAGGACAGGCAGGGTCGGAACCGGCAATCTGGTATCAAACGCGGGAAAGACAAGCATGAGGCAAAGTACAATCTGGCAAAGAGTGTGTGTAATGTGCGGGTTTAAATACTGGCAGAAGCTAATGGGTGCAGAAGAGAAAGAGATACTTAAACATCACTGTATATATTTTGATATACACATTTTAACATATTGATTATTTGTATATATTTAAGCACAATGTGAACATTTCTACATATTATTATAAAATACAAATTACAAATATTATATTGTATTTTATCTTCTTTTTGCACATTATTTCCTTAACTTCTTATCTTTAGAAAAATAAGTTATTTGTATTTGATTTGATCATTTTATTGCACATTTTAACTTTTATTTGTAGTATTTTTTATAGTCTTAATGCACATTTGACAACTTTTTTAGTTTTTTATCAAGCTTTTATTTAGCATTTAAAAACATTCCAGACCGATTACAGAAACACACGTCATTGTATTTATGCAAACCGTGGTTTCAGGTAATTCAACCATTTGTGTGGATTTATTTGAAGGATTTTCCACAGGAAGTGAAAAAGCTGCTCTTCCATTTCCTCCTGTTTCTCATTTTATCGTCTTATTGCACATTTTCACTTTAACTTCTCAGGTTTATATAAATATGTATTATACTATTTTATGTTATTGTCTTATTGCACATATTTATTTTAACTTCTTATATATTCAATTTCTTTTAAGTGTTGTTTTGTTTTATATTTTCTTGCTGCACATCACATGTTTTACTCCAACTTCTTAGGTTTGTATACATGTGTATTATTTCATTTTTATTTTATCGTCTTATTGTACATTTCACTTTATACTCAGTTTCGTGTCTTCAGGAACTGCTCTCCCTGTTCCTCCTGTTGCAGACCTGTATCTCTTCCAGGCTAATGCTAACAGAGCTAGCTTCAGAGTGTCCCGACTGCCGAGGCTGGCAGGCAAGAGGCGACAGGGAAGGACCGGACTCAAGGACCTTTTGGGGGGAAAAGACCGAGACAACACCACCAACTCGGACGGACACGAAGGGATTATAACGAGGGCTGTCAGTCGATTAAAAATATATTCAAGTTTTTACGTTTTTTAAAACTCTTATCAGCATATGAGTGGACAAATATGCTTTATGCAAATGTTTGTTTATTATCATTTGAACAATGACAACAACCTCTGAACATTACAAATATTCGCCTCAATTCAACCTAGAACCTCTCATACAATCAGTGCTGGAATTGGGCCGGTACTCACCGGTACGCAGTACCGGCACTTCTGGTTCTGACCCATGGAGTACCGGCACTTCTTGCTCAGTACCGGCATGCTGGCGGTACTCCGGTACTCATGCACCGTGCCAGTACTCAACACTCTCCCGCCGTTCTTATTATACATCCATATATATATATATATATACAGCCGCCCGGTACTCAGTAGATGCGTCATGAGGTGCCGAACGGACATTCTCATCGCTCTAACCGCTGGAGTTTCACAGCGGCTGTCAGCTGTTTACTCCTGTCATTCAAACAGAACGTGCTGGAGAGGGGGCGGGGCTTATCTTCTCCATGTAAATACTGTGGTGGAAACGACTATGTCAAATTAACCTATTTGACCGTGATTTAATAGTAATACACGTTTCAAAATAATAATAATAATAATGCCGAAGTAACAACATACTGAAAACTGTTAGTAAAACCATGTTTTAATGCTTTACAATTTACATACCTAGATGCACGTGTGTTGTGTTTATGCAGTGCAACTCCCACCCAGTGGGTGGCTATGTAGAGTGATAGAACAGAGCAGGCACGCCCCCGAGAGAAGGAAAGCAAGTCACGTCACAAATGAGCATTTCTAAAATGTTAGCGTGGATTAATAAAAGTGCAAAAAGACAGCGGTTGTCGCCGGAAGAAACTTCAAATACAGAGAATGCTGTGCCTGTGTTGGAAATTGTGTCTGATGGGGAGCTTTCTTTGGTTGATCCTCCTGCTCCAAGTTCTAGTGCATTAGCATTAGCACTAGCTCCGCCGCCTCCTCCAGAGCCTCTAACGTTAGCTGCTGCTGGCTCAACTGCCACCACCAACACCGGGCAAAGCGATGCACCTGACTGCTGGACAACGGACCAGGTGCAATATTTTTGCAAGACCAATGCATGGCTCCTTCTTAAAGATAAGAAGCTAGGATGTCGGATATGCAGATATGTCAAATCTTTGGGAATACACACTGGACAAGGACTGAAACTGTCAACTGAATGGGGGTGAGTGTGCAGTGTCTCATTTCGGTGTTGACAAGGGCAAACAACAAGCTAGCCTGAGAAAAAAAATCAAAGAACATAAAGAATCACAAGCCCATGTAAAAGCTGCTGACATCCTTACATCTGCTTCACGTGAAACTATTCAACATCAAGTGCAGTCTATGCATAAATCTGAATTAGACACCACTATCAGAGTTTTTCGAACGGCATATACAATTGGCAAACATAGCCGGCCATTCACAGACATGCCAATTGATTTGAATGTACAGAAACTGAATGGGCTGAACGTGGGCAGGGTTTTGCACTCCAATAAAACCTGTGGCGAAATCATCGACCACATAGCTCATGAGCTGAAGAAAAAAATGGCAAAAGACATTACAGAAAACCAAAGAAAACTCTGTGTTTTCGTCGATGAATCTACCACTATTAGTGGTAAAACGGTGCTTGTTGTGTGTCTACGCTCAGCATTAGCTGATGCTGAGCCCGAAACGTTTTTTTTTGGGAGCTGATCGAGTTGGATGGAACAACGGCTGATGACATCACAAAGGCGTTAATGGAGTGTCAGTGTTTCGTTTCTTTTGCATGTGATGGGGCTTCAGTCATGCTAGGGAAGAGAACAGGCGTTGCTACCGAGTTGTGTAGTAAATTCCCAAGCCTGTTTGTGTGGCACTGCTCCAATCATCGTCTAGAGCTGGCAGTTGGGGATGTGGTCAAGGAGGTCTCAGGGCTCAATCATTTCCAGATCTTTTTTGACAAACTCTATTCCTTGTTCCATGCCTCCCCCAAAAATCAGAGGCAGTTAGCGCAGTGTGCGCAAGCAGTCGGACAGCGTCTCCTGGTGATAGGGCGTGTTTTGTCCATCCGCTGGGTGGCTTCAAGTGAAAGGAGCGTCAGAGCAGTCTGGGAAAACTACCGAGTGCTTCATGATCACTTCACAAATGCTGCAAACGACACGAGCAGGGATTCCAGAGACAGAGCAAAGTACAAGGGCCTGGATGATGTGCTCACATCTGCAATGTTTGTCAGCAATCTGGGACTGATGTACGATGCGCTCACAGAGCTCAGCGACCTCTCTCGGCAACTCCAAAAAAGAGAGATGACACTGCCTACAGCAGATAGGCTCTAACTCGAGAAATACGAGTTTTTGAATCCATGGTCACCATGCCTGGCCCACACATGACTACAGTTCATACAGCTCTAGCTGAGAAGTCCTTCAAGGGTGTTGCCCTGCGTGAGAATGGCAGGCTTGTACAGATTCATGCAGGTCAGTTTTTCCGCAGTATGGTAGAGAATCTGAGACACAGAATGACTTCCACAACCTCCTCTCATGTCAGCACAAGAGAAATCCCATTACATGGCCGGGAGGCCCGGGACAATCAGCTAATCCAGGACATGAAAGTTATCCATCCTGGAAGTTGGCCTGAAGAGGAGTTAGACGTACAGTATGGGGACGTAGAGGTGCTACGTTTGTGCGAAGTGCTGAAAGTGGACAGAAGAGAGACTGTTCAGGGCTTTCGCGAATACAAGGAAACCAGGGCATCCCGTACACTTGCTGCCATGGAGCCTCTACTGAAAGCAGTCCGAACCATCGCTGTCTCCACTAGTGAGTGTGAGCGGGCATTCAGCTGCATGAACGATATCCTTACTGCAAAAAGGAATGCTCTCTCTGTCAGCCGACTGTCCAGCCTGGTTTTCATTAAATGTAATGGACCATCACTAGGACAGTTCAATCCGGAACAGTATGTGAGGTCCTGGCTGGCAAAGGGAAGGAGAAGTGCTGATGAAAGAGCCTGTCCAGCTCCAGCCCCTGATACTGATGTCCCCAAGGCCTTCTGGAGCCTTTTCTAACAATGTGAAGTATATTGCAAAGCAGCTCACCCAGTGAGAAGACTTTTGGCATAATGTGCCGATTTGTACAGATCCTGGAGATAGAAGGACTTCAGACCAACCAGGGAGTTATCTGATCAGCTTGGTGTTCAATGTAACTCTTTACCATGGCTCAGACTTT